CAAAAGTGTTCAACTAACGATAACAGTCGCACTAAAAAGGAGTCATTGCGGCATGGCGCTCAGTCACGCGAAGGACCGAGTTCTTTCATCCGTCAGGATTCTTGGCCAGTCCGGATAGATTCAAACATGTCACATTTATTATACTGCGAACTGTGCTGAGTTGCCATAGGAATGGAGTTCCGGCAGAAGTAACATTGATAGCGCATCTTATATACGACTAGCCCCATCGTTCTGTCTTACGGGGACGTGGTCACGGTTATACTTGCTTGAATGTAGGCAAATATATTTGCCCGAAGCATTTTTGTATCAATTTTCCCCCCAAACTCTATCGCCGCTCTCTACTACTATAGCTTGACCGACTCCGGCCTGGCAGGTATTTGCCTATTGGTGACCATTACCACCCATATGTATTTTCTTTTCTTCGGAAAGCCAGTTGGATTGGTGTGCGACTATTTCTAAGCGAATGTACATATTATAGGCAGAAATACATAACCGAAAAAAACAAGGCAGACCGGAATGGCCATTTCTGGATTATTGGCCATCATCAGCTAGCCATATCTGACCCCAGATTGTGCATCATCCGAGGCTCGTACCGGTGACCTGTTGGTCAAAAATCCAACGCTTTAACCATTGAGCCACGGGCTCGCTCTCTCGCCAGTTTAGATAGGGGATATTGACATTAGTGGATGAAAGCTCACCAAGCGATAGTCAAGTTTGCGCAGTCGAAAGACATTTTCAAAGTTTTGACTGATGGGCAAAGCTTGCTAGCACCTCATGTGATGAGGATTCAGAGAAAAAAAACGAATTATAAGCTAAACTTTAACGGTGGGAAATTATTAAGACCTATGAAACTTTCTGAAACACAAAAAATGTTTTCGAAGAGTCAAGACAACATGCAGATTCTCGAGAGCAGGAAAAGATTTCTTACAATGACGCCAAAATCAATTTTCGTCGGGTATACACTGGGCTGAAGGAAAATTCAGGGATGTTTTCATTGCACTCAATAATTTCTTTGGGAGTCCAAACGAAAAGATAAACGATATTCAGCAAAATTCGGTCAGTTACAAAGAACACTCTATTTTCAATCTCGGTCCGCTCTACTTGACAAAACACTGTCAACAATTCGGCAGTAAATATAGGCTGGATGCAACGCTTAACTCGTCAGGTCACATGCAAGTGTAGCGTACTTTACCGTTCCCATGCTTTTGGTCTTCTATACGGAGTTGTGCCGATTGCCGAACTTTTAAAATATACCAACTACAGATTGTATGCAATTATAATCAGTAGCAATTATTTTGTCGTGTCAGACATAGCCAATGCAGCAGCCGAAAGCGGCAAAGGCAGAGCTGGCTGGCACAGTTCAGGAAGCTTGCCTGAGGGGCGGAAGCGACAGATTTGGCCTGGCCGCGAATTGCTGCCACCGAATGCATACAATAAAAGTGCCACGGATAGACTTAAAATAAGCGGTAAATGTCGCTCAAATGGACGGAGTAGGGAATCCACAGGTGAATATTAATCACCGCTGGTTGGTGAGAACAAGAGTATGAGAACATGTAACATTGCAGTTGTGATGAGACAGCAAGAAAGGGTACTTTGGGAATGGTCATGATTGGGGGGAGACCAGGAAAAGTGCTAGGTCGTGCAGATGAGAAGGGGTTGATAGGGCTGAGTGAGACGACTTATCAGCGTTAGCCGAGGGCAGCGAAATAGCAAATCCAAAAGCAAATGAATTAGCAGGGAAGGCACCAATGCGCTTGAGGCGGTCATATAACTTCAGTGTGGATGGCCGGCCTAGCTGATTAATTAAAAATGACAAGGCGTCTGCCTACACTAAGTTCAAAATCAACAAGTTTTTTTGGTTAACAGAGGCATGGAAACGTATTCTCACTCATGGGTTCTTCGCCTGAACTAATGGCCGCAAAGTCTTCCCGTAATATGCGCCTCTCAAAAGTCAGATATATCTCCAAGTACTAAAAGATGGCCTTAATCAGGTCTCAATGTGGGCGTCAGCAAATAGCCTTCTAATAAACGACCAAAAGTCAGTCCTGTGTGTTTTCCGACTGCGAATCTCTCCCAGTCCTGAACCCTTAGATGTTCTGCCCAATGAGGTATCCTCTTTTCGATACCTTGATGTTACTCTGGCATCTAACCTTTCAGTTAAACTTTATTAAAATTCGTAAACTTATATATTAAGTCCGCCGTTCACGTTCAAACCACACACCGCAATCCTTACTCTGCCGATTTATAGACGCCTGCATTCAGTCCCTCATTCTTTACTCTTTACAGTTTTCCTTCTTTCTGTTAATTTATAAACGTATCCTCTGAATGCTCTCTTCAGCTGCCGGTGTTTTAGCTGATAGTGACAGTGACACTTTAAAACGGTCAAGCCATTTGATGCTCCCATTCTTGGTGAGGTCGCTAATCCTTTTCACTCTGGACTAATGGCCGCGAAGTCTTTCCGTACTATGCACCAAAGCTTCCGTGGAAAAAGTAGCTTGTGTAGTTCCACCTGGGTTTTCAAAACCTGAGTCTGCTGTCTTACGTGACTGGTGGAATTGGGGGGTTTTATGGGTGGGGAAAATGGATGGACGAGAAAGGGACTTTGTAAAAATAAGTACAAAAAGTCGTAAAATTTTGTTGAAATAGTTTAATACGGCAGCTATATGGCGACGGCGTTGAGCGCGTAGATAGAAAAAAAGGTGCGAAAAATAAATCGACATCGCATCGAGCTCGAATCGACGTCGACAAGCCTGGAAATATGGAGTTCTATGCTAAAAACTCCCCTTTTTCCCAAAACATAGTAATGGTGGACTTTTTGAAGACTTAATATAAGGCGTTTATTATTAATGATAATAAAAATCTGGTAAACAAATATTATTGGGCAAATGTATAAGACAGTCATATGTAATGTTTTATATTAGAATTCTAAATTTCCGTTGACTGGCTGCTGTGAACAGCAGGATGTGTTGTGGCCGGTCTACTTGAGGGCTAAATTAAAGCAATCCACATATCACTTCTAACTCCTGACCTAAGCAGTGTGTATGTATCGTTAGGTAGTTTCTCTGACCTGGGGCGAGGTCATGAGGTACATATTTTTAATATCATCACTAAACCCCAATGAACACACGGCGGGCGCAGTTGTAAGTTGAAGGTTGTTCACTGACCTTGGGCGAGGTCACTGAGGTACATTTTTAAATAGCATTACTAACCCCAATGGGACCAACGGCGGTCGTGCCTAAAATGGGAGGTGTTCGCTGACACTGGGCGAGGTCATTGAACTTTTTTTCCTTCTTTTTTAGGAACCTCGATACTTAAGATGATGTATCTAGCTGTATATTTTCTTGCGTAAAGGTATCTTCCCGCTCTTAAACCGCAACTGCATGAGAAGCGCTTTCGCGCGATCATCAGCCATATGCCGAAGGCGAATGCTAATCGTGATTATGTAAAGATAACGAATGGTATGTGTTGCAATTGTAAGTGCAACTGTTGCTTCTTTTCTAGCGAGATAAGTCGCGGCAATGTATTGGCAAGGCTGGGTGGAGGAGGAAAGTGAAGAGATGGCAGCGATACAGTAGCGGGTTTGCCAATACTGGTTGAAGAAGCAGGACGCGATCCGCAGCTACTACTCCACCGACTTAAATGAACAGGCATAAATATGCCTACTGAAACGAATATAGGAGTTAATTTATTGCTTATTTCAAAAATAGGACTACTCACGCTAAGCTTACCACAGCATAAGTGCGGAAGCCTATATGAAATGTTTTGAACAGGGAAAACCTGTTGACAGCAGTGCATACCATCTAATACACAGTAGTTTGA